TACCTATGGGGTTTAACAAATCCTAAGTCCTTATTTGTCTACTTATGTTCCATAATATTATCCATAGTCCAAATATACATAATGTCCATATGCTCACTAAAGAATTAATTTATATCGGAAATGATGCTATAATCCAATAAAAGATCAAATTTTACAAATTCAACCAAATCCAGAATTCTTGATTCTGGACAGAAACTTAAGATACATAAGATGATCAAATAAAGAGACTTCAAAAATGAGATAATTTCTCATCTTTTTATATGGTTTATAGCACTCAGTTATAGTCATCATTACCAAATTTCATGTATTTTGGGCATGAGATAATGATTCAAATAATTTATGCAATGCAACTTATCACAACTGAAATGGCAGATTGCACCATGTTAGTAAAACACTCATTAAAAGAGTTATACTAGGTGTTCTGCAGAAATTCAAATTGGACTGAAAACCTAACACTTATACAAAACTTTTAAACTAAAAATCACTCATTTTGGATGAGTTGAGAGGAAGATATGATACCTTAAAGTCACATGCACACATCTGTCATTAGTTGGCAGATTGCACACTTGACTTAAATAAATAGGTTCATGCCTCAAAACATCATATTTTTGAGTGAAACTGGATTCAAATGAATCCTAACTCATAAAATAACGTTTTAGAAGAAGAATCATACATTGAGAACAAGTAAGTAAAAAGATATTAGTATTTAAAGTAAGAGTTACCTACTGGTGGTTTCACAGTTTGCACACCTATAGAGTTTTAGGTGCTTGGAGATCAAAACTCCATAATTTTATGTGATTCCACTTGAATGTAGGAGACAACCCATAAATTTAACTCTTAAAAGAAGAATCATTCTTTTTCATTGAGTTATGAGAGATATATGGTCGATGGAACATACATATACAAATCTGTCAGAATCGGACAGATTGCATGTTCAACTTATTTTGAGTAATTAAAACCTCAAATCACCACAATATTGAATTAAATCGGTGGCATTTGAAAGGTAACTCATTAAAATAACATCCARAAGAAAAATCAACAATTTTGAATGATTATCAAGAGAGTTATGACTATTCAAAGTAGGGTTTACCTACTGAAAATTCTCATATGCATATATACAATGTTTTGAGCATTTGGGGGGTCAAAACTCAATGTTTTTGAGTGAAACCAAATGCATTGCAACCCCAAATCAATAAATAAACTTTTAAAAGAAATCTCATAACATTTGAACAAGCCATTATAAGATATGGACGATTTGTGCACAAGCACATAATCTGTCAGCACCAAAATATGAGGTTTTTAAGAAATAAACTCACATAAAATCATAACTCTATCTATCTTTTTGAGTTCTAAAGTTTGGGTCATGGATTACCACCATCAAATAAACATTTTTACATGTTTTTGGTGTATAATCTCACCTTGAGACTCAATATTTACGAAACATGGAGAATAGAAGATAAAGAATGCAATAAAGTGGGTTTTTCTCCCCAAAACTTACAAGAAAAGATGAAAGGATGAATACATTACCTTGTTATTGTATGAGAGAATTGTTGTATCTTCAAAATCTTGCCAAAATGATGATGATGGATGGTGAATTCGGCTGAATATGGAACAAAGG